GGTTACATGGGTATTTTCAATTTGTGATAACTCATTGAGCTATACAGTTATGATTTTTGCTATACATATTTTTCTATATGTATGTTATACTTTAATTTACCAAAATTTTGTTTTAAAAAAGACCAAAAAAAAGTTACTACAGGACAAGCAAGGGATGTTCCAAGTCTGTGTAAGCCAAGCAATTTACACAATCACATCCTGATTCTTTCCTCTTTATCTGTGAAAAATAAAGAGAATAGAATAAGTTGCCATTTTCTTGCAAAAGATAAGTTTCTGTACTTTTACTTGGTCAGTACATGGTAGAGGTTCTAATTTAAGACTTGTTTCCCACCTCCATGGTAAGCAATTAAAGAAAAGATTTCTTTCTTTCATTTCTGTATTTTAAAACAAATTTTCTGTGACATCAGAGAGCCTGCCAGTAACGCTCTCAGACCTACTTTTATTGGCATAATCTTAGAATGATTTACAGAAAGCAAATACCTGGCCTTCCCTCAGGTTTGGCTGAGACAAATGAATCCATAAATGTTTTGGGACAATAGAAAAGACTGTTGAAACATTTGTGGAGTCTTTCATGACAATTAACATGAGAGGGAAATTATCTTACTCCTTTTCACAGAAGAAGAGTCATATTTTCCTTTGGATATAATATTCACTGAATTTAAGCCCTCATTTGTTTGGGGATCCTGAAAACAAGGTATAGTTGAACAGACAGAAAACAGAGTAAAGGCATATACATATATATGATCATCCTCATTATAGCCAAAATACATTAAAATATGCCCCCAGTACCAACAGGGGACCTAATAACAATAATTTCTTTAATCAATATGTAATTTAATTAAATTATTTTAATCAAATAACTTAACAATTATTATTTAAAGATTTATTAATTTTAAATAAAAATTTAAATAATATCTAATCAAATAATTCAATTAAATTATTCACTAATGTATTAATTTAATAAATCATTTAATGAAATTTAATTAAAAGTAAAATACATTATTTAATAATTAAGCAAATAATTTAATTAAACTTAATTGTTAATTTAATTATTAATTAATAATTTCTTTAATAAACATTTTTGACACAGGATACAATCAAAGATCACCCAATGCCTTTAGGAATCATGTATCTTTTATTTAGAACATTGTTCCATTCTTTCCTTTGCTCCTTTTTTTCCCCCTCTGTCTTTCATGACATGGGCATATTTTGAAGAGTCTAGATATATTATCTTGCAGCATGTTGTCCTACAGTCTAGATTTATCTTATGGTTTTCTCATGATAGTAAAACATGTTTATAGAAAAAAAAAACCCTACTTGTGCATATGCAGTTGGTTTTCCCCTATTTGTCCCCAAAGCCTCCCATTTCTGAGACTTTGCTCTCGCAGACTGCCTTTCCTCACTGCATCTCTGCAAGGCTTTGTTCAACATTTAACCTTCTCCAGGAAGATTTTCCTGGTGCCCTTCATCCTGAAACAATCTGTACATATCTAGAATACTTTAGCTTTTCTTTTCTTATAGTATTTATAATTTTTTGACTTTGTATTACTATTTTTATTTTGTTCACATATCTTTTACCTTCTCCCCAAGGAAAGCCATCTAAAGGCAAGTCTAATTTATCTTTATGGCCTCCCTGGCATCTAGCACATGGTGGTTCACACAGCAGGAAATCGATATATATATATATATATATATTTGCTGAATGCATGGATAAATAAATGAGTAAATGAATGAAAGAAAATGATATCTCTGGTTTCTAAGATACAGCAAGTTGGTAAAAAACTTAATTTTTAAAAAATTAAAACATAATTTACATAATTTCTTAAATGTTCTAGTTTTTTAAAAATATTAAGTTCTTGACCAATTAACTATATCTCAGAAACCAGAGCTATCATTTTTTCAAAAGAAGATAGACAAATGGCTAACAAACATATGAAAAAATACTCAACATCACTAATCATCAGGGAAATGCAAGTTAAAACTACAATGAGATACTTGTCTTACCCCTGTCAGAATGGCCATTAATAAAAAGTCAAAAAAACAATACATACTGGCATCGATGCAGAGTGAAAGGAATGCTTATACACTGTTGCTGGAAATGCAAATTAGTACAACCTCTATGGAAAGCACTATGGAGATTCCTCAAAGAAATAAATGTGAATCTACCATTTGATCCAGCAATCCCACTGCTGGGTATCTACCCAAAGGAGAAGTCATTTTATCAAAAAGGCACCTGCACTTAAATGTTTATCGCAGCACAATTCACAATTGCAAAGATCGTGGAAATCAACTTAATTGCCCTTCAATTCTGAATGGATAAAAGAACTGTGATATATATTTGGTGTGTGTGTGTGTGTGTGTGTGTGTGTTGTGTGTACACACCATAGAATACACTTCTCAGTCACGACAAGGAATGAAATAATGTCATTTGCAGCAACTTGGATGAACTGGAGGCTATTATCCTGAGTGAAGTATCTCAGGAAGGAAAACCAAACGCCATATGTTTTCACTAATAAGTGGGAGCTAAACGAGGGTACACACAGGAATAAAGTGATATAAAGAAATGAGAAACCAAGAAGGGGTGAGGGTGGTAGGTGGGTATGGCCCAAACTTACCTATCTGGTACAATGAAGACTATTCTGGTGATGGCACCCGAAACCCTGACTTAAGCATTAACAAGATATCCATGTAAAAAAACCCACTTGTACCCCTTACAATATTTGAAAAAAAATTATTTTTCAAAAAGTTTACATAATTTCTTAAGTGTACTTTCTGCATCAAAAATAGTCTACCTAATTTTTTAAAAATAAATTTTAGTTTAATAAAAATAAAACTGTATCATAATGCCTCAGTATGGCTCTTTTACAGCTTATACTTTTAAGACATTGAGGAAAGCCTTTCAATCTGGTGAGTTCATTCTTATCTTTGAAAATCACCTCATATTGTTTTGTGATAATTTCCTCTCATGCATATTTTTTCTCTCTAGAATAGGTGCTTAATAAGTAAGACAATAAGCTTGCTGTTATACTCAATATATCTTATCTTTTCTTTCATTTTTTCTACTTCTACTTTCGAAAGATTCTTCAACATTGTCTTACAATCTACAGGTATTATTGATCTTTTAATTTTTGAATTTGTTTTAATTTTAGGAGTTTTGTTTGTGTTTTGAGTGCCTTTTTTTTTTTTTTTTTTTTTTTTTGAGACAGAGTCTCGCTTTGTTGCCCAGGCTAGAGTGATGGCCGTGGCGTCAGCCTAGCTCACAGCAACCTCAAACTCCTGCTCAAGCAATCCTCCTGCCTCAGCTCCCAAGTAGGGACTACAGCATTCGCCACCATGCCAGCTAATTTTTGATATATATTAGTTGGGCAATTAATTTCTTTCTATTTATAGTAGAATGGGGTCTCGCTCTTGCTCAGGCTGGTTTGAACTCCTGACTCAAGCAATCCGCCCCTCGGCCTCCCATGAGTGGCCTTTTTAATAGCATCTATTTCTTGTTCTACAGATATAATATCTTCTCAAATTGCTATAAAAATATTAATTAAATTAATGAAAATTTCTTCTGTTCCTGCAACTACCTCTGTTTAAGCTTTCTTTCTTTCCTTTTATTTATTTATTTTGAGACAGAGTCTTGCCTTGTCCTCTAGGCTAGAGTGCAGTGGCATTATCATAGCTCACACAACTCACAACTCCTGAGCTTAAGAGATCTCCTGCCTCAGCCTCCTGAGTAGCTGGGACGAGGCATGAGCCACTGCACCCAGCCTGTTTAAGCTTTCTTAAAATGTTCTTATGTTTATCTTGGTCCCTCTCATTCATATTGAAGGCATGCTATGCATTAAAGATATAGACTTCTGTGCACTGAAAAGCTGATTGGAAACTCTGTATATGTGAGCAAGGTTTGCCAGCTGCCAGGTTGGCTGTAGGTTAATTAAATGTTGAGTTAGGCATTATGCTATGGAAACTCCCAACTGTCAAAACATGAGGTATTTTTTCTGAGATCATTCAATTTCTTTAGAAAAGAACCCTTCAGGTTTTTGCCTGGGAACTGAACATCTAGTTGTCGAATGGTCATCCAGCAGAGAGGTATGTGTGCGTTCTGTTCTTTATTTAGACTTTTTGTTATCTCCCTGTTTTTAGTCCTTGTTTTCACCCCTCCCTCTGCCATACCTGCTGCCTCTTGCCTATCTCCTGTGCATCATGCTCTAAGCCTCAGTTTATCCCAGTTCATCAGTTACCATTCACATCTCATCTATTTTATCTTCCAGAATTTTGTTAAATATGTCGCCCTCCGCCAGGCTAGGTGCTCACACCCTGTAATCCTAGCACTTTGGGAGGTCCAGGTGGGAGGATTGCTTGAGGCCAGGAGTTTGGAGACCAGCCTGAGCAAGAGTGAGACCTGTCTCTACAAAAAATAGAAAAATTAGCTGGGTGTGGTGGTGTGCACCTGTAGTCTCAGCTACTCAGGGGGCTGAGGCAGGAGGATCACTTGAGCCCAGGAGTTTGAGGTTGCTGTGGGTTATGATGACACCACTGCACCCTAGACCAGGTGACAGAGTGAGACCCTGTCTCAAAAAAAAAAAAAAAATTCTCACCTTCTGATGGACTCTCTTGCTCTTCTTGTTATGGATTTATATGTTCTTTTAATAAAAATCCCTTTACCATCATTTTGGTGGAGTCTTAGGAAGGAGAGAAGATACATGCATTCAATTTGCCATCTTTAATCAGGCTATTTGCTTAATTTTAAAGTGTTTGTGTTCCAAATGTCCCCCTGTAAATTTGGTTTTGTGAATACATTAGTGTAAATTCTCTGCCTGGAAGACTAAAGAAGTGATTTTGTATGTGAATATGGGAGTAAAGTTCAAATAATATTGTGTGGTTTAAAGTTTTCTACTGAGTAATCTGATACCAGGAAAGTAAGGTACTGCAGAGGGAGTGTGAGATACACTCTCTGTTCACAACTTAGGAAGCCTGGCTACTTATTTACAACTGGGATAAGACAAATAGTCAAGTAACTAGAGAGGTTCTATAAAAAGTTTAGTTAAATTTAGGTTAAAAGTTAGCTGAATTAAGACAAAAGCTTAAGTTTTTATTCTGCTGCCAAACCATGCTCCTGTGCATGCCTGAAACTTTGATTTCCTTCAGATTTCTAGCACCTGAAAGAGAACAAAATTGCAGGATCACTCAGGCAGGCTCTTCCTAATCCTACTCATTCACAAAGAATTTCCCCTTTGAGCCACCACGACATTGGTGGTTACTCACCACAGATTCCTCAGGATTGGCTGGGACTGCAAATAAAGTACTGTTTGCTCATAATCGAGTTGATAAGCTACAATATAAATATAAGCAGGTTCCTGTTCTTAGAATATAACATGATGCATCTGCTCTTTTCTTTCCTCCTAACATTTTCATGCAAGACCCAGAAAGGACACATTGTCTCTGGCGGAAAGCAAAGATCTTTAAAGAAAAAAACAAGAGCATAAGATGGGTCTGCTGAGTTCTAAAAACCCTAAAGTCAAGCAAGCCCAAATTCTTCTTCTGGGACTTGACTCAGCTGGAAAGTCTACTCTCCTTTATAAATTAAAGCTTGCTGAAGATATTACTACCATCCCAACGATAGGTTTCAATGTGGAGATGATCGAGTTGGAAAGGAGTCTTTCGCTCACAGTCTGGGATGTTGGAGGACAGGAAAAAATGAGAACTGTTTGGGACAATTACTGTGAGAACGCTGATGGGCTGGTGTATGTTGTGGACAGTACAGACCAACAGCGACTGGAAGACTCTCGGAGAGAGTTTGAGCACATTTTGAAGAATGAACACATTAAAAACGTGCCTGTTGTCCTACTGGCCAACAAACAGGACATGCCTGGAGCTCTGACTGCCAAGGACATCACCAGAATGCTGAGAGTGAAGAAGCTCTGCAGTGACCGGGACTGGTATGTGCAACCCTGCTGTGCCATCACAGGGGACGGGCTGGCTGAGGGATTCAGGAAATTAATTGACTTTGTGAAATGCCGCATGAAATCAAGAGGAGACACTTTAGCATTCTTCAAGCAGAACTGAGGCTCTGAAAGGTCCAAGCCTCAAAAGAGAAACTAATGAAGAGAAAAGGCTATTTTTTTTTCCATGCCAAGTGAGAAAAGCAATGTACTGAGTTGGCAGACTTATCCTGAGATGTTATGTTATTTCACCTACATTTGGTTAAACAACTTAGAATATTATCTAGAAAATAGTTATTTTTAGCCAGGAACTTTAGCAAACTGAGTGGTAATGATATTGAAAACGTAAAATATTCTGCAAAATTTAACACATTGGATGATTCCAAATTCAGTAGTCATATTTGGGACCAAATAAATTATTGCCTTATTAATTTTGCATGACTATTAGAACAAAGTTTAAGTAAGCTGTCTGCTAATAGAGTCAGTATTCTTTCAGAGTGTTTCCAGTTGTTACAGGTATTGAATTTCCATCATGTCATAGCTGGGTGGTGTGAAAAATGAACTTCAAATTATGGAGAGAAAAAAGTTTTATGTTAACATCTTGTAAATCTTTATTCCCTAAATAAAACTGTTCTGGATTCCTGTCATCTTTTTGATATCTATTGCTGGGAACTTTCTCCAATGAGTCTTAAACAATGAACATCAGGCTGATGAACATCATTTAATGTTCACAACTGCCTAAGAGAAATAGGCATTATTATCTCCATTTTACAGATGAGAGCACTGAGACTGAACAAGATTAAACAACATCTACAAAAAAACTAGCTGGTATTTTAACTGAGGTGTAGCAGAGCCAAGATTCAAACTCAGATGTGTCTGACTCCAAGGCCTGAGCTGTTAAATGCCATGACGTTGCTTTACAAATAAGGTATAGTCTCCGTCTTCAGTGAGCTTACAATGCACAATTAACAATAAATCCAGGCCAGCATGTATTGTTTTTACAATAAGAAGATTACTAGAAAATATAAGCCAGGCAGAATAAACTAAGTGCAATAACAAAGATATAAGAAACGTGCTGAAAGACTGGCAAAAGGAGTTTCTGATTTCAGGAATATCTCAGGGGGTGGCACTGTTTTACAATTCATAGTAGAGTTTTTCCTGTTTTACAAAATATTAAAGCCTCAAATATGCATCTTTCCTTACAATTTATCTATGTGTTTTTTTACTGACTCTTCCTAGTGATCTTAAAATTGGGAGTCACTAACTTGCTTCTTTAGAAAATATCTGTCTAGAAAATGCCTCTTGGTGTTCCTGAATATTTTCATAATCTGAATTAAGTCAAGCCTCTTATGGCCTAGCCTTAGCAGGATGTAAAATTCAAAGAAAACAGTCTGGAAAAATATTGAAAGCAACTCAAATCTTCACTTCAGAAAGCCCCTGGGTGTTTGTGGTGGGGATAGCGGGCAGATACTTAACGTAGAGCAAAATTTATTATTTTTTTTAAGAGACAGGGGCTCACTCTATCACCCAGGCCAGAGTGCAGTGGTACAATCATAGCTCATTGCAGCCTTGAAATCTGGGCTCAAATAATCCTCTGGCTTCAGCTTCCTGAGTAGCTGGAACTACAGGTGGGCACCACCCCACCTAGATCATTTTTAATCTTTTGTAGAGACAGGATTTTGCTGTGTTGCCCAGGCTGATGTCAAACTCCTGGCCTCAAGCAATCCTCTTGCCTTGGCCTCCCAAAGTATTGGGATTATAGGGGGCTACTGCACTCAGCCTTAGCAAAATTTGTAAAATATCCTTTTCTTGTCATCAATATCTCTCTCCATATAGCAGTCATTCCTCAAATCTCTGCTAATATTTGCCCAGAAACTTGTATACTCTTATAGTTTTCCTCCTTTCTTCCCTGGAATCCAGTTTATTTTCTTCCATCAGTCACTTACTTTCTTTTCGAGTTAATTTCGCCTGTCTTTCCTTTGTTTGGCAATTCCCTCCTGCTCTCCCCAGCACACTCCTCTCTGTACATGTGCACACACATACACACACCCCCCCCTCTCACCCTGATCTAATAAAGCCCAAAACGAGGGAAGGGAAAAGACTAGGTAGACAATAGCAAAATATTCCTTAACAGGTAAGAGGAAACAGGCTATGAATATTCAAGTTTTGATATTTATTATTGTCATATATTATATTTTATTTTATTTTAGTGCATTCCTTCCAGGCATTTCATCTGAATAATTTAAATTTATTTTTAATACATTTTATTGTGTATATTTGAGGCTTACATGATGTTGTAGAATACCTGTAGATAGTAAAATGATTACTATAGTGAAGCAAATTAGTGTATCTATCATCTCCCATAGTTACTTTTTTGCTTGGGACAAGAGCAGCTAAAATCTACTTATTTAACAAAAATTCCAAATATCATGCAATTTTACTCTGTCATTTATCTGTAATAAGGCAAAATTTTTATCAAAATAGCATATTGCCATGGGCCAGATAGCAACCAAAAGCATAACACTTCTGATATGTTTCTTGGTTAAAGATTTACAGAGTAAGTCCTAAATCTGTGACGTAAAGGTTAAATACAAGGTAAATATTCTGGAAGGTAAATAGAAGATAAATATTTCTATCTGATTTTCTAAGTGGTCTAAGGGGGAAAAATCCCCATAGGGCATAAGAATAAAGAATGGCAAATAAATCAAACAGCTGCAGTAACTGACATATATTACAATTAATTTGTCAGTTTAAAAGCTGAAAGTCACCATTTTCTGATGAACAAATTGGGTTTCACCAAACAGAGGAAGACTAGGAATTTTAGCTGGAGTGTCTCTGGCTCCCTGCAGGCGGCACCAAGGGGCAGACAGGGGCTGACTGACTCTCTGCTGTGTGTTGAGTGAGAGATCCAAGAAACAGCATCTGTTGGCTCTGCTCTGCAGACCTCAGAGTTGGCCTGCTCTTGTTTGTGTGAGCTCTCTCTCCAGAGAGACAGAGACATGAGAGAGAGAGAGACACACACAGGCAGACTAGACAGAGACATCTTGGAAGTGCTAATGAGTATTTTAGCATAGTAACATAACCTAATAATGTCACAGGGGTTACAGTCCACCAGATTTTTAGCGCAGTGTTGACTGTTAGCAGATTAAGTTACTTCAAGCATGAGAAAGTACATTTTACCTTGAAAGTGCCACACAAATATAAAAGATGGTTATTAGATGACAACCACATGAGTAATATTTTCACAAATGTTATCTCCTTTTGTTATCACAAAATCTTGAGCAGGGTATAACAAATACTATCAACCCCATTTTAAGGATATGAGGAAACTGATTAAGCAGTTACTGAACTTAATCCTCTGATTTCCAAGATCAAAACACACCATGTAAATATTATCATACAATGAATTTAGCAATACTGTGGCACATACAGATTTTACCATTAAATCTCTTTGTTCCTATAAACCAGGTGGGACTATGGGCAGGTCAAGGTGTTTCTTGGGCCCCAAACCTAAATGATATCTTCTGTTTTCCTTCATACCCTATATCCACAAGCAAATCCCACCATTTCTCCCTTCCAAATACACCTCCTGTCTGACCACCTCTTCATCCCCACCACTATCACAAGGCCACCACCAATTCTCATCTGGATGGCTGCATTCTCCACACAGGATTCTGCCCAGAGGGTCTTCTAAAAACGGAAATCTGATCGCATCACCCCCCTGCTCTAAACCCATTGGTTCGCTCCTTGCTCAACCTGGTGCCCACCCCCTGTTTCTACCCGTTTCCCCCTCCAGACACACCTGCCTCTGTTATCCCTAGCTCATTACAGGCCCATGGCCCTTAAACTAGCTGTTTCCCAGCTTAGAATACATTTTTCTCAGGTCTTCAAATCTTTCAGGATTCCAACCAGAACTGCAAAAGAGGTGTTCCCTGAATCCTTACCTACATGATCTCCCATCCCTGCCATTCCCTATCTCTTAATTACTCCTTTACTTTCTTATTGTCTCTTTTCCACTCTAGAAGGTAAGCTTCAAGGAGGAGGGACTTTGTCTGCCTTGTTCACTATTGTATCCTAGGATTGTGCTTAGTACGTTAGAGGTATTTAAATGATATTTGTAGAATAAATGAAGGAATGGTCTCATTAGGGCCCGAGGCTGCCGTTAGGTGGTGGATGGGTCCAATAATGAAGCAGCATGTGTAGAATGGTAGATTGGGGCCTAGGACAGTCTCCTTCTAATTTCAGGATACCACTGGCAAGTCCCCTCTCTCAGAAGCAGTGTGACACAGTGCAGTGAACACAGGCTTTGGAACCAGAACTGGGTGGGGATTCTGATTTGTCACCTGTTTTGGCTTTTAAACAGGTTACTTTGCCTCTCTGAGTAAGTTTTCTCAACTAGAACACTGACTGGAACAAGCAATAAACCTTTATTGTGCTAAGCCATGGGGATTTGGAAGTTGTTACAGGCACCACTGTTAAATTATCCCAATAAACTAGAATCATGCTCTTTGCTCCTCCCTCATATACTTAAACCTTCCTCTTTCCTGTTTTCTTTTCCTCACAAACCCCCTCTTATCTGTCTCCCTCTACCCATTCTCGTACCCTCATTTGGCTCATTACAGAACAGGCAGGTAAGACGGAATTTAATTTTTCAATTTTTTATTTTGAAAAATTTCAGACCTTCAAAAAAGTTGAAAGAAGAGTTAAATTAACACAGATGTACTTATCACTTAAATTCACCAGTCTTACAATTTTGCCATATTTGAGCTCTTTCTTTCTGTTTTTCACTATCTCTCTCTCACTCTTCACACTCACATACACGCACACACACACAATCATTCTGACACTTTATGTCCAAATACTACATCATGTATCTCTTTACAAAAGACCTTCTCTTATATAACTCAGTACCATTATTACACATAAAATTTGACGTGTTAGTGAAATATTATCTAACAGTCCATAATCAAATTTCCTAAAAATATAATTTATAGAATTTGTTTGCTCCAGAGTCTATCACAGTTGGTTGGCTATATCTCTTTTGATTTAGAATATTTTCCCTGTCTTTTCCTAGCCTCTGCTTATAGTCTTTCATGTCCTAGAAATTTTTGAAAAGTCAAGCCAGATAATTTATAGAATGGCCCACAGTCTGTATTTATGTTTCTTTATGATTAGCCTGATTAGATTCAGGCTAAACATTTTTGGCAAGATATCCCACAGATGATATTATACTTGTCACTGCATCCATTAGTGAGCACATAGTGTCAGTTTGTCCTATTACAGATGGCGCTAAATTTGATCACTTTCTTTATGGTAATGTCCACCATATTTCCCATGGTAAAAATATAACCCATGTCCATTAGTTTCTTGTTTATTCTTCCCTTATCTTTTCAAAAATAATCAGGTATATATAACTGTATTCTTATTTCCCTTCTTTCTTACACAAAGGCCATATTTTATATATGCAAAAGAAATAACTTTAAA